TCACTATGTAGACCAGGCTGGCCTTGAACTCACAGAGATCTGCCTGCATCTGCCTCCTGAGTGCTAGGATTAAAGGTGTGTGCCATCATGCCCGGCTTTCAAATGTTTTTTTTTTTTAAAAAAAGAAATGAAATGTTTTTGGGTTGTATTCAACAAAAGCATTTTTTTTTCTTTCCCTTTCCTCCTTACGTTCCCAGCTTGGTGATCCTGCTATATTTCCTGCTGTCATTGTGGAACATGTTCCTGGCGCTGATATTCTTAATAGCTATGCTGGACTAGCCTGTGTGGAAGAGCCTAACGACATGATTACTGAAAGCTCACTCGATGTTGCTGAAGAAGAAATCATAGATGATGATGACGACATCACCCTTACAGGTGAGTATTTTTCTATTACAGGTGGTTAGGGTCTGGGCCAGGTGTTTCCAGGTTCTTGTTCTCTTCTCCAAAGAACTGAAATTCAGGGCTCACACAGTTTTGAAAAAGAAGCAAGATAACTTTATTCGGAGCAAAGTGATAGTTCAGGTCATGGGGGGATACACTGTCAAGTTTGACAGTGGGTCATGAGTGTGAGTGAGAGTCCTCAAGGGCTCCAGGGCACAGCCTGGGGTCTCTCTATGGGGCCTAAAAGAAGGAGGGGCTAATTACTGGGGTATAGTATAGATTAGGTCATATATTCATGTTTCCTGCTGTATATGTCCCTTCCTATAATGCATTTGATTTTAATTATATGTGTACCCAATTATACATAGACATAGGATGGTTAATAGGATATTCTCCCTAAAAGTTGCTAGAGGAGTCAGTTTTGGTTGGACCCGTCTTTTCTTCATATCCACATATTTTGGGAATACACTTGAATTCAAACAGTATAATATGAATGTTAGCAGGGGTAGGGAAACGTTCAGAGATGAGAGTGTGTATAGGCTGATATAGGTCAGGCATTGAAGGGTTCTGGGGTTGTGGGGCACATTGTTTAGAGAAGAGCGTGTATGCCTAGTCTGTGCAAGTGAAGGAATTAGGCTGCCAAGTGCATTGTTATGGGGGAGAGGGGTACACAACCCAAACCAAATTGGGGTCCCAGGGTTCTAGAATGTCCTGTGCTTGTTGGCCACGTCTCTGTCCTGACTTTGATACAGCACAGTTTAGTGAATGCCCAATACCTGACGCTTTTGAGGCATAGAAAGTCCCTAATCTGTTTTGGGAAACTTTATTACTTTTAGAAGCTGAAGCCTGTGGGAAGAAGAAAACCACAATTTCTGTCCTTTGCCTAGTCTCAGACTGCTTTCTCCCTTCTCCTTTGTTTTTCCCTAAATATATTGAAATGGACGTGACAAAAGGTATGTCAGAGAAATCAAACCTATTTAATTCAGACTCAGATCTTCACTGAGTGCTTTGTATAGGCCTATCTCTGTATTCCTGAGAAGAAAGTGGAAAGCTGTTTGCAGGAAAGTGGTAGGAATGTTTTCCTTATTACTGGAAGCCAGATAGTAGTAAGTCATGACCTAATGTGTGGTAAAGACCTGCGGTTTATAAAAGATTTCTGTTCAGGATCTGTCAGAACTACTAAAGTACCTAACATATAAAGAATAGACTGTAAATGTGAGGTAGTATTAATATTTTCATGAGTTTTAAAATTTGTTATGTGCTTTATAGTTCTGTATGTTTTATATTTATGTATTTTGACCAGAAATGTTGAGGATATTTGAGGAAATTATTTGAAAATAAGGATTTTCAAGCCAGGTGTGGTGGCACACGCCTTTAGTCCCAGCACTTGGGAGGCAGAGGCAGGCAGATCTCTGTGAGTTCAAGGCCAGCCAGGTCTACACGGTGAGTTCCAGGCCAGCTGGGGCTACTGGGAAACCCTGCCTCAAAAAAAAAATAAATAAATAAAAATAAAAAAAGAAAATAAGGATTTGCATTTTTATCCTTAAAAGAAATGGTTCCATCAATAGATGAATAGGCAGGAATGTAGTTTTCTTATGGCAGTGTGGTAGCCTTGTTCTCAGCTGTACCTTATGGTCTAGTATAGTGCCTGACACACAATATGCATTCAATAGTAATTTCTTCATCATAACTTTTGCTAGCAAATATTAAAAGCAGGGTAGTAGTAGTGAAAGAATATTGAATTAATAGAACTGAATATCATTCTAGATGCAAGATCTTGTCTATTAAGAAGTTTACACATGATTTAGTGCCATTTTAAATTAGAAGAGAAGGAAGAAAGACTGTGGACATTCAGTGGGGCAGAGAAAGGAAAGATTCCTACCATAACAATAAAACAAAATATAAAACTAATCCCAAATAAATTAAAAAGTTTGAAATAGTAAAACCAAAAAACGTTTAAAAAGTTACTGCTTGATTTTTAAAATAACAAAGGATTTTCTAAGTATGGGAACTAGGAAGATGTATTGACTTTGGTAACAAATATTGGAAACTTTTTTGATCCTTCTGAAACATAACCAAAATAAAAAGTCAAATGACGAATGGGTAAAATAATTCATAATGTATATATGGTAGGCAAGAATTCATTAGGGACTGAAGAAATGGCTCAGAAGTTAAGAGCACTGACTGCTCTTATAGAGGACCAGGGTTCAATTCCCATCACCCACATGGTGGCTAACAACCATCTGCAACTCTAATTCCAGGGGATCTAACGCCCTCTTCTGACCTCCTCAGGCACTGCACGTCATGGGTGCACCTACCTACATGCAGGCATTACACATAAAATAAAAATAATAAATAAAATATTAAAAAAGGAATTAATCACACTCATACCCATAATGTATTAAAAAAGGAATTAACTAATTAATTCCCTTAATGTCTAGAGAGTACATAAAATAAGTTAGCAACCTTAAATGGACACAAAATTTAGTCAGTTATGTTAATGAGTAAAAACTTACAATAAGGAGACCCTGTCAACAAGAAAAAAGACCAACAAATACTGTCCAGTGTGTATGTGTGAGTTTATGTTGCATGTGTATGGGTGTTTGCAGAAGCCAGAAGGGGGCATTGGATTCTCTGGAGCTGGAGTTACAGGCTGTTGTAAGCTGCCCAACGTGGGCGCTTGGGTCCTTTGTAGCTAGCTTTCTTAACTACCGATTCATCTCTCCAGGCCCAAACTTCAGTTCTTTTTTTTGTCGGTCTTCCTATTTTTTTTCTTTTTTTTTTTTTTTTTTTGACAGGATCTTACCGTGTAGCCTTGGCTGGCCTGGAACTCACTATGTAGACCAGAGTGGCTATCAAATCCGTGCCCACTCCCTCCCCTCCAACATTCCCCCCTCTGAAGAGGTAGCCCTAAAATAGGGTTAGATATTTGCTCCCAAATACTTTTGATGTTTTTGGCCTTTGGAACAGTATGTTGTTAACAGGACCAAGGACATTTTGATTTTTAGCCAAAAAACTTGCTACATTTCTTTGCGGTCTTTTTACCTTAATTGCCTAGCCAATTCCTACTTACTAGTTCTTATCACACCATCCTCTGAAGGGGTTACCCAAATTGCCAATATGGAATAGGGATGCCTACTGCTCTGGCTTCTTCCATGCTGAACAGGGATGCAGAGTGAGGCAATTGGAGTACCCCTTCAGTGGGTCTATCTAAAAGACTCC